CAGGGAGCGGGGAAGTCAAGGGCGGCAGGGGCCCCGGGGCTGGGTCAGCGCCCAGCCGCCTCGTGTGGCCGTCTGCGCTCTGAGGAGAAGCGTAGCAGGCGCGAGCAGAGAAAATTTGTAGAGAAACTGAAAAGTTCCTCCTCCGCGGGATCAGAGCCCCTCCGCCTGGCGAGCTTCCCCCACGACTCTTGTCCGTCAGTGCCGAAATCCTTGAAGGAGGTGCAGCAAGTCTCACATGATTATAGGGTTAATAGGCGAACGCATGGGAGCATGGGAGACTGACTGTCTGATCTGTTGTACTCTTCTTTGATTTAGTTTTCCCTATGCTTGTACTATAAGTGCTATGAAACAGGCTTGTTACATTGGAGATGGGATTTGAGACCTCTGACTCTCAAAACAGTCACAGACCTTCTTTCATGCCTTTTGAGAGTTCCCAGTAGTTTTTGTTCAGCTGTAAACAGCATTTCAGATTTGAAAATGGTTCCTGCATCCAGGGTTTTTGTATCACGTAAAACATCTTTTGCTCACACAATTGCTTTTACTTTCACTAAATGATTTTTGTCCTCCTTCTAATGACTGCAATTCTCAATGATCTTAATAGTTAGAAAATTCTTTGTATTCTGACTTTTCTCTAGATGAGAAAAGTTTCTCTGCTTCAGTCAGCTTCACAACTGATCCTTGTAACTCAGATCAGAAGCTCAGTCACCTCAGCTGGCAAACATGATGCCATGCTTATAAAATTACAGCTAAGTTAACGTAGGAAGAAGATCTTCCTTTCTCAAAAGGCTGAGGAGAGTAGAAGGGAGTAAGTTCATGAGCAATAGGAGTGAGAAGGATGATCATAGTAATGGTTTTCTGTGTATATAAAGCAATTATAATATCCCATACGGACAGGACATGTTTTGCATTTTGTGTATCACATTTTTGTCTATGTTTCATACGTGAGCAGCAACAATCAAAAGCAATCGTTCTTAAATATGATCTATTTACCTGAATACAAGATAGTACTTTGTTGTTCTTTACAGATGAAAATGCCCTAAAAATCTTCTTTGGCTGAGGGAATTGATAGCCACTGCATTTGTGGCTCATGCCAAGTTCCTGTGGACGCTGAGGAGCAGGTTGTCTTGCTCAATGGCAAGCGGTACTTTGCTTCTCTGCCAAGCGGCAGCTCTTTTACCTGCTTCAAAGTACTTGCAGGAGCTTGGTGGGAATCAGGGTCTGTCTGCGATACAGGAGTTGGGGAAATCACCGCAGTTCTCATAGTAATTTCATGGCCGAGGTTTTGAAAGAGGAGCCGTATGAGGAAATTTGTGGTGAGAAGCAGTTAGCTAGGCAGAGGAGATAAAGTTTCTGAGGTAGGCAGCAAAAGGAGTGGCAAGTGATTAGAAAATGTGATGAAGGTCACCTTATAATCTAGGTCCAAACTTCACCACTCAAAATAGAAGAAAACCAGGGTCACCTTTATACGAAGATTCACCATATATTCCGGTAACTTTGTCAGTTGTTGTAGGAGCAATCTAAATAGCCGGTACTAAGATATGTCACTTATGTGGCAAGTGTGTCTCTGTTTTAAATTGGGCAAAGATGAAAAAGGAAGACAAATATTGCTACACGTCATTGCATTCTTAGCTAATAAACCCTCTCCCTTTTAGCTTCCGAGTTAGCAGTCAGTTACTAATTTGAGAGTGCTTTCTGTCTGAAATATTAAAGAATGCTGAAATCAAATTTTGCTAGCTGACAGAGCATTAAGAAACTCTTAATGTACATTTATTAACTCAAAATTGTATACCTATTTCTCTTTCACGCAAATCCCCAGCATCTGATTAGGGGGTGGTCTAATTTGTGTAATGGCTGTACAGTTAACACGTGAGAGCAGAGTATGCAAATTACTGCTCTAATCACTTACCTCCTGCAGAACTGGATATGCGTACACTTACCCAGAGTATAGTCTGCTCATTTTTTCCTTTCTTGCTCATGATGACGCCTAAGTTTCTTTTTGCACCTAAAGAAGGCTAAATCCCTTTATCTGCAGCAAGGTAACGTCTCTAATTATGAAAAAATGGTTATTCATTCTGTGAATGGCATATTAACTCTAAGCAGACTGTGTGGCTCGGAGTTGCAGGGGAAAATATGTTTGGGATTTATATAGTGGTGCTCCTTGTCAAACTCGATGGCAAATAACTGGATATGTATTTTAGCTTGAAAGTTCACTTAGCCAAGGGGACATCACAAACAGGAAGCAGGGACAAGCTGTCAAATACATTCTGCCTAATTATCACTAAATGGTTTTGCTGTATGCATTGTTTCAGAGTCCTGAAAGAGGAAGGGGAGGTCTGAGGGAGGGACAGTTCACTTTTCTTGGGAAAAGGGCAGGAAGTATTTCTTTATAAGATTCCAACTATCCTAAACTGAGAAACGGCAGATGGCACAAACATCTGTATGCCAGGATCCCATAGTTTGACCTAAATGAGTGATGCATTATTTAAAGTTTTCTATACTGAGTAACTGTCTTGTGAGGGTAACTAGCTTATACAAATGCATATAATTAGTGGCAAGGAAGATATATTTTGTAGTTTCTAGTTTTCCAGTTGCGTTTCGTCAAGTGTGTTTCAAAGTCAGACTAAAGTTAGTGTGTTGCTGTTGAAAGCAGTTTCCAGTTGTGGGCTAATATCACCCTTCTTTTCTTGTTCTTTCCTCTTTTAGGTCAAACCAAAGGACCAGCATCATACTGTAAATACTCTCAAGGTCCTGCTGATTTTGTAAACTGAGTAATTTATTTAATTTGAAATTAAGTAAATCTCATATGGCAAGAGGCCCAAGAGGGCTAGTGAATGTGCTAATTATCTGCTCTGCTCTGACTACGGCTCTGTTGACAGCTGCTGGCACTGACTGTCGCCCTGGCAGAAGAGGACAGCAGCTGGCATAGCTTGGAGCTATCCTGGAGAAACTCCTCACGTATAGACTGAGCAGAAGCTGACTGGAGAGAGAGAGCTCCAGGGAAGCAGCCCTCAAAGCCGTTGCTCCCAGAGATGTTTACAAATGGGGAAAGGCAGAGTGACACAGTGAAGCAAAGGGCTGCTAGACAGAGGACTCCATATAGTGCATTCTGCAGGAGAGGACAGCCCTGGCTTTCCTTTTATTCTGCTTTGGAGGTGCTCACTTTGAACTTAGATGCAAGCCTCTGTAGTGGGGAATGCCCAAAAGGCACTTTTAAGGCCTGCTATGCTCCTGGCTCACTTTGGACTTTACCCTGTGTTAGGAGGGGGGAGACCTTTGGCAGTGCAGAGAGTAGAGATTTTGAAGGGGAAATGCTGCTGTGCCAGGCCTTGGCCTCAGGGATGCTTCCAGTACTGACTGAGCTTTGGAAACATATGTTTCACAACGGACATTAGAAATGGTAGGTCTATTTGTTTACCTCTAAACTGCAATCAGCATCTCCCTTCAAAAGGGTGCTAAAAAATACGGCAGGCTGCTCACATTACATTTACATTCCCCTGATGTGGTAAAGGTGGCATGCTTGTTAATCCAGCCTTGGTGCACTTTGGCTTTCCTGCCCTCCAGGAGCATTCTGTCCTAGGTCCCTGCCCAACCCTGCATCCTTCTGCCAGAGGCAATGCCTCTGAATTTGCTTTTCTCTACCCAGCTAGTGACGTGGCTCTTGGGAGTCTTCTTTTCAAATTCTGCCATGAAAAATAATAGGGAGAGTTGAGGTAATTTCCCTGACTCAAAGTTGATTTCCTCACTTTACATATTGTTAAATCATTATTCACAGAGTTGATTAATTTCTGAGGCCCGGTCCTTGGATACTCAAGTCAAGTTTTGTTCTGGGCTAAATTAGACATGCAAGTGACAATTTATTTCTTATAGTGGGGGAAGGGAAGCCTAGGCAAGATTGTATCTTTTGAGAAATACTTAAAAAACAAAATTCTGTAGGGAAATATTTTGTTATCTCTTAAAAGGCATTAATTTACGCCTTTCTCAGATTATACAAGCTAAAACTACAGGCTAATATACTGTATGGTCAATATCATATACTAACTAAGTATAAACTGGAATTGCCAGAGAAACTTAATGAAACCAACTCTTTTCCTCTAGAAACTGAAATATAAAGCAGGTAGCTCTCATCAACCTTTTGGGAGAAAACTGTAATGTAAGGGAATTAAAATAACATCCAAATTGGAGTTCCTGTTTGGGAAGAAGGATTTCAGGGTTTTTTGAAGAGTTCTTACTATTCTGCAATATATACTATCAAACACAGTTAAAGAATTCAAAATATCTTGAATAGAATATTTTCTTAGATTACATGAGAAAACATTGGACAAATCAAATTTACTATCACCAGCTTCCATCTATTTGGGTATTTTTTTTAATCTAATTCAGAATGAGGCCAGGTTCTGAAATGTCAAAATCCTTTGCAAAATGGGAACTTCTCTTCACACGGCTCTGTTTTAAGCCCTTTACAGCAAAAGGAAAGCTGCTCAGCATGTCTACCAAGTGAAGGTAGCATCTTTCTGTGCTCATAAGCAAGCCAGGAGAACAACTGAATGACCTTTCTAGCCACTCAGTTCAGAACTGCCTTCCCAAGCACAGGTTACTTTGGGATAGCCTGAAA